TTTTGATGGAAGATTCATCGTCATTAACATACAGTAGACATGTAAAGTTAGAAGAACATATATATACGAATAATTATAATATGTCGCGCAATAATTGTGCGCGAACGCTCATTCTTTGGCAGGCGACAGATATCCACTTCCAAGTGTGGCCTTAAGCCACCGGGGACATAGGTCCCCGCTGGCGCAATAATACACTGTGCAAGTGATGCAGCCTACTTTTCTTTGCTGGAGGCGGTATAGATTACAACCAAGGCTTACCACACACTACTGTAAAGGAGGCCTTAGGCCCTCTTCATACACAATACTATATATGTGGCCTTGGTAGGCTGCCAGCATACATTATACTACAATACTATATAGATGGCATTAGGCCACCGTCATATACAATGCTATATATGTGGCCTTGGGCCCCCAACATAAATTATTCTATTATTACAATACTATATAGGTGGCTTTAGGCCCTATCTAGGCTATATCTATGCCTATGGGAAATACAATCGGCATATACCATGGTAGTTTGTTTTAGCATTACTAAAATACTTAAACAAAAATCACTATTTCCGGTCGCGGAAGGGTAATTGTCGGAGTGAGCTGACGGAGGCTGGAGGCCACTGGCGGGGGACGACGTGGCCTAAAGCCACACTTGGATGTGGATATCTGTCGCCTGCGCTGCGTATACCAGCCAGTACACAATCTGGCTACGTTATTGTGTTAGCGCATGCGCAATATCTCACCAGAGGAGTTGTATTTTGTGATGAATATGCATTTAACATGGGTAAGGGTTATCTCAGCATAGATTTCCCTAATAAACCTTTATCAATAGACCTCTGTTTATAATTAGGAGAGCGCCCTAGCATGTAGGGTACAAAACATAATTTAAGGACGACCTTGAATGTAAGGTCCCCGTTGCGTATACCAGCCAGTACACAATCTGGCTACGTTAGTGTGTTAGCGCATGCGCATTATCTCACCAAAGGAGTTATATTTTGTGATGAATATGCATTTAAAATGGTTAGGGGGTATCTTAGCATAGATTTTCCTAATAAACCTTTATCAGTAGACCTGTGTTTATAATTAGGACAGCGCCCTAACATGTAGGGTACAAAACACCTACTTTATGCCCTCGCATTCTTCCCCTTGCCTCCCCTGTCCCTCGCTCAGCCTCCTTCTTCTTCTACCGCCCCCAGCTATCTTTCCTGCCGCCTTTCCTCAGTCTCCCATCCCCTCTTTCCCCCAGCAATCTATATTATAATGTTTGCCTCCGCCGGCACTGCACGCCTAACACGGTGCGCGGGCATGCGCATTATCTCCCGAGAGAAATCGTATTTTGCAAAGATTATGCATTTAAAATAAAGAAGAGTTATTCTAGCATAGATTTATATGATAACATTCCATCAGTAGACATTATTTAAAAAATAGGAGGAAGATCTTGCATGTAAGGTCCCGGTTGCGTATGCAGGCGACAGATATCCACATTCAAGTGTGGCCTTAAGCCACCAGGGGCCTAGGGCCCCGCTGACGCAATAATACGCTGTGCAAGTGATGCAGCCTACTTTTTTTTGCTGGAGGCGGTATAGCTTACAATCAAGGCTTTCCACACACTACTATATAGGCGGCCTTAGGCCCGCTTCATACACAATACTATATATGTGGCTTTGGTGGGCCGCCAACATACACTATACTACAATACTATATAGGTGGCCTTAGGCCCTCGCCATACAAATGCTATATATGTTGCCTTGGGCCTCCATGATACACTATTATTACAATTCTATATAGGTGGCATTAGGCCCCCGTCATACAAATACTATATATGTGGCTTTGGGCCCCCATCATACATTATTCTATTATTACAATACTATATAGGTGGCCTTAGGCCCCCGTCATACAAGTACTATATATGTGGCCTTGGGCCCCCATCATACACTATTTTATTATTACAATTCTATATAGGTTGCCTTAGTCCCTCGTCATATAAATACTATATATGTGGCCTTAGGTCCCCGTCATACAAATATAACGTCGGCAATACTATAACGCGCTACTAATAACTTACCGAGTGCTGCACTGGCGCTTGTCTTGTTTTTTCATATTTAATGCTATATCTATGCCTATGGGTAATACAATCGGCATATACCATGGTAACCTGATTTAGCATTACTAAAATACGTAAATAAAAACGACTATTTTCGGTCGCGGAAGGGCTCGTCAGAGTGAGCTGACGAGTGCTGGAGGCCACCGGCGAAGGACGAGGTGGCCTAAAGCCACACTTGGATGTGGATATCTGTCGCCTGCCATTATTTCACTGAATTAACCAGGTATAACTGACTATGCAATGGCTAGTGTAATCGTGTGATGACGATCATGCATTTGTAGGTATTTGGGCAGGTAAGACAGTTAAGTAGCTAACGGTTTGATACTATGTGTGTATATGTATGTTTTCTATCGTGATTAAATGAAAACACGTGTTTTTGTTCACTCCTGATTCCAAGCATCGCCGATTGCTATTGTAATGTGTGGCAATTTTTTTTTGCTTTATCACGGTGATGGCGTGCAATTATTGTCACGCAAGGTTGTAAGCTGTGTGTGTGTGTGTAAATGTATTGAAGAACTGTCGCGGTAGCTTACGGCACATCTGATAGTCTGCCTGGGAGGAGGCCAGCAGTAAGGCAAGCGCCTGCTCCCCATCCTGACATCGCAGCGTGCTATAGTCTAGAATTAGGCCGGTAGAGGGCAGCACCAGCCAGTAGCCGAGTGCAGCGATGCTGCAGTTGCACGTCCACGGGTTACGATCTAGTAACCTACACGTATAGTATAGCAAATATTATTCATTAGTTCTTAATTATTCTTATTAGGTTAATTAAATTTTAATTTAAAATTAGGATTATCATGCATAATTAGGGGCCACGAAACTGTGCCGAATTTTGCACGCATCTTCTAAAGATTGATCATTTAGCACCGTACTGGACTGTATACGGCGTAGCTACAAGAGCGCAATGATCAAAGAAAGAAGCAAAAAGAGAGCGGGAGAGATATAGAGGAAGAAAGAGCGCGCGCGTGGGAGTGAGAGGGGAAGAGACTGAATGAGAGAGAGAGGGGGAGAGAGAGAAGTAAGAGAAGAAAGATATGGAGAGAGAAGAGAACTTACAACACTGTCAGGGATTGAAGGGGCAATCCAGTGAGAACAGAAGCATCGATACTGGTCAACCTGTTGTCCAGCAAACTTCTACAATTCACACAAAAATACAAGCTCAAATCACGAGCGATCCCGTAGAACATTAAACAAATACAAAATATACAAACGAATAATATGTATAATACAATGTATTATTAGCTCTTGATATATGTATATATATATACACTATTATACAACTTATACAAAAGTATTAACTAATATATAACGTTTAAGGTGGCATGAGGCTATTACTTCTATGGCATAAACTAAACCCCTTCGCTTTCCCTGCCCCTATACTCACAGATGCTGCAGAGAATGGAGATCGTTGAATAGCCCCGCAGGAATGTAGCTGATATTGTTGCTTTGTAGATTCCTAACAAAAAGTAACGGAAATGTAACACATCTCACGCGAGTGGAAGGTAGTAAGTGAACCTGAGTGAGAACTAGAGAGAGAGAGAGAGAGGGGGAGCATGGTGTGGAGAGGGGTAGAAGCTTGAAGCTATACATAGTTATTGTTGATTTAGCAGCACGAATCTTACGTCGTTAGTGCGGTCAAAGGCAGCGATACAGCAGTACGGTGACCTGAGCAAGAGAAAGAGAGTGCGCGAGAGAGAAAGAGACAAATAGAGAAAGAGAGAGAGATTATAAAGAGAAAGATAGAGAGAAAGAGAGAGGGAGAGAGCAAGCGAGAGAGAATGAGAGAGCGAGAGAGAGATAGAGAGAGAGAGAGAGAAAGGGGGGG